TTATTCAGAACTATTACATTTCTTATAAGTTACACTATATATCATTAGTGACTTGTTGAGTTTGTTATATAGAAATGGTCCTAAAAATGTATAAAATCTGTTCACAAATGCGTGTTTGGTTTGAAGGTTTACAGAAACTAAGTCCAGTCTTCACCTGTCTATGGTTTTTAAGTCTATGGATCTACAACTTCAACTTACATGTTAGTCCAGTGAAATTAGCGATCAACCTCAGAATTAAAGATAATAAGCTGAGTTTTCGTTTATACCTTCATTTTGGCGTTCTAAAAGTTGTTTCAAAAATCTTATAAAATATCATGCCTGCATGGTAAATTATTGAAGGTCAAAGTTATTGTAGTTGAAAAAATTATCTCGGTTTCTATTACTCCAACAATATTAACATCTATTATAAACGTTGTAAAACATAAAATTTGCGACAAATTTTATTTGAAACATTTTTTATGCGCTCAACTGCTTTTGCGATAGAGTGCGGTGAGCACGCAGCGGTCAGCCGTACCGTACTGTAATGCAAGGTCAACCGTGAATATCTGTGAACTGTACATACTACTATTGTACTAAACATTTTTTTACATATTTTTAATATATTCATTTAATAGTAACTACCTACTTCATGTTATTAAAACTCATTAAGTAAAATACTACGTAATATGTAAAATACGTAAAATAATTACGTAGGCATTTTATCTTTAAAATGTGTAAGTTTTTAATATTAGATAATATATTATATTATTATATATCTTAAAAATATATTATTTTATTCAAAGTAAATTTTAACTATAAGTAGACTGGGACTGGACGGTAATTTTCCATTGGTGTTTTTTCTCCTTTTTATATTTAAATAGGGGATTTACAACAGCCGCCTTAAATTTTTCTGGAAAGGTGCCGGATTCCATTGACAAATTAAAATAAAGAGGCTAGTACGATACTAAATTTGTTTTTGCACACTTTAATAACATTTGTACATATGTTATCACAACCTTCTGAATTTGTAATTATTAATAATTTTACTTATATCGTACTCATCAACCGTTGTTAAATAAATTTAATTTTGAAGTCTATTTTTTGTATGGCTATTAATTATATTTTATTATTTATTTTATTTGTCTAATTAATTGGGGAATTATTATTACCTCATATCTATACCTCAGTTATTGGCATAGGTTCAGTTATTATAGAGTTATGTGTATCTCCTGCTATATGATTTTGTTCGTTCTTAATAATTTTCCATATAGTTCTTCAATATTTTTACTATGAACAAATGAAATAAGTTTATACTTAAAATAACTTTAGTATAAACTATTTATTACTATGTTTTTAGCGTAATTAGTACATCTTTTAAAAGCCTTGTGTATAATGATTTCTTATATTTACGCGAACACTGCACATTGATTAAACCTATTTTTTTACGGATTTTATCGCGTTTAACTTTAAATGAATTAAACGCGATAAAATCCGTAAAAGTAGTTTTAATCAAAGTCTTGTGTAATTTTTATATACAAATTTATTATGATTTGTTTCATTTATGTAATATTGGCGCTCTGCCCCGGTTTCACTCGGGTGACATCTAAATTCTACTATAGCGCCACCTACTGGGTCCAACTATGCCTATAACCTTTGCGGAAGTGCAAGAAATATTTTGATAAAGTTTTTCCGCAATCTGATGAACGGTATGGCAGCGCATAAAATGTGAACAAATCAAAATTAATTTTCATATGTTAGCTTTGTAACGTAATATTTTTATGTGGTCTATAGTTTATATGTGGTCTAATGTTAGATTAATTTTAAATCATCGGAAAGCAAAGTTAGTAAAATAGATGGAATAGTTCTTGTTTTTTATTATAAGCTAAATTTAGGTCAGTTTCCAAAAACACTTCAGGAAACGATAAACTTTCTACATAAGTCTGAAACTTATTAATGTTTTCTTGAGAAGCTTCTTTGAAAGAGAAAATGATTTTTCTTAGGACCTTCTTTTTGTTTACTGTAATCCTTAACATTTGAACAATTTCGTGATCCGATAGCGAAAGTAGAAGAATTATCGCAATGGCATGTTACTAATATCGTGATCAATATAGGACTGTCTTCTAGTGGGTTTTGTAATATGCAGATGAAAATTAAATGTTTTATAATATCTGTGAATTTAGTCGTTACATTCTCATTAACTAAAGTATTAATGTTAATATCCCCTGCTATTACAATCTTCTTTTTTGAATATTTATGATTACAGTTTGTTCCGTGAGAAATACGACGCTATTTCGTAGGTTTTTATTACCATATTTGTTCAGTTCTTCAAATTATACACAGGTTTCCGTAAAACAAAGAACATTTGGATTCATTTGGCCCTTAAGCTCGGAAAATGTAATTTAGATTATTTCCGTTTTAGATCAGCAGATCAGATCTTGAATATTTTGGTGGGATACACTAAGGCTGTTGCCATACTTACGAACGAAAAAAGTAGCATTATTTAGAGTGGACGTCGATATAGTTTGTAAAATTTTATTATTGGTGGGAAGATAATTCCTATATAAGAAAGGTTCCTTTTTTAGCGGCCGTCATATAATGAAAACATATTAAGCTCGATTGTAATCAACGTAAGAAATATTGACAATATTTGTCACTCAGCGAGCTATGGAGAAGGCTATGAAAATTATCTGCATGATAAATTCAGGAATGACGATATCTGAAGTTGGACCAGAGTAACCAAAATAGCCTAACGGGTTAGTAAATTGAAGTAGCAATGGGCCGGCCACATAGGTCGAAGAACTGATAGCCGATGGCAAAAATGGTTCCCAAGTGACAGCCTCGTACCGACAGGAGAAGTGTAGGGCGTCCTCCCACTAGATAGAGTGACCTATTTTCTTTTCCAATTCTTCTATCTTTTCCGGGCAAATTGTATTACGTAACAAATATTGACAATATTTGTCACGTTTGCTGCTTTGAAATAATAAGGTATAGTCCCTTTTCTTTCGAAATTCACGTTGTGATATTCTCTGTGCATTATTATTAGCGTTATTTTTTGTAATAGTTTTATGTGTCGCATTGTATTTTCAAATGTAAGAAACTGTAGATTATATTCATTTACATCCATATTTAAGTTAGGCTTTTTTCAAATATCATTTAACTAGAATTTCATATTTACATTACAAAATTTTATATTTATAAAAGTACATTATTTAATATTTAGTAAATAGGTAAAATTTATTATTTAATTTATTAGGTACGTGAGGGTAATGTCATCTTAACTTTGCCGCCCTATAAAACCACAACTAGGAGGAGGATAGAGACGAAAACACAAAGTCTAATACTATAATTAAAATATTAAAAAAAATAGCAAACAAGCTTTGGCAACAATTAGGAACACTTTGAAAATAACTTTAAAAAATAACTACTACGCTACACAATACTAAAATCGAGTAAAATTTTTACTATAATGTCAGCGTCAAAATGGCTTCAATAAAGCAGCGCCCTTTTGAGCCTGTATTATTTGATTGACTGATGAAGAGCTATCGTATCACAAAGCCATTCATACAAACATAGCTGTAAGAAAGTGGCTATATTAACCGGATTACCATATTACCCTTTTGTACTATATACATTAAGATATGGATTGAAAAAAATGGAAGAAAAATTAGAATGTAATATAACAGTATCATTATTGGCTCAATAATTAACCATATAATACAATATTGTAAAATTTCACTTCTAGTTGCATTGTTCATTATATATACCGAAGGATGGTATTTATCATTCCATTATCTGAGTCTTGTTTTAATTAATGCTGCCACTAGGCCCAGCAATTGTTCATCATCTATTACATGTATTGTTTGATTCCACTGCAAATTTATAGTACACTCTTTTTTGACTCCTCTTGTTGCCTAAGCCAGTATCTAAGAGAAGGCCAAATAGGCCTTTATAAAGCTTGGCGTGCTACACAGAGCGGGACAGTATTTCACACCGCCTGCAACTTTACAAGGCGCAGGTTCGACCTCACATGAAATACTGTTCCCATCTCTGGTGCCAGCTTTTTTCACTTGACCGTATCCAGCGCAGATCGTCTCGAATCGTTCAAATAATTTAGTACCAATGGTTTAGTTAGTTAGAACCAATTGGTTTAGTTTATTAATTTTTAATTTATATTCCGAAATTATTATTTTTGGGGCAATTATTTTTGATAAATATTCTCAATTTCATATGCTGCTATTTCTAATTTCTCTTTAAGATAACCTATTTTCTTTTCCAAATCTTTTCCGGGTAAACAGAGCCTATTTCTGGGCAAATTGTATTTAATTCACACGTTTTTAGTATTCGCCCGATGACAGAGAGTGAAATAATTCTTCACAGGTTTCCGATATTTATTTCTGACTGTTATGTTATTTGGTGATTTAAGTGATACTCTTTCTTCATAGCTTACCAATACGCTGTAATATTGTAGTTTATATTGTATAGAACCGGGGATCCTTTTTACCGATAACGAGTCATTCTATCTTCGTCTTCAGGTGTGACGTAACACATCTGCATTTTGATTCTTTATCGAGTATCAATTTTGGTGTTTATGAGCCACAGCAACTATTTAGCATCAGATGTACTGTGTGCTCGCTTGTCACCCTTATTCTATAAAAGAAGAATACTAGTCTTTAAAATTACTATATAGATTAAGTTGCGTTTACAGTTGGTATTGCCTAAAAACTTTATTTTATATTTTAAATTGTCTTTGTTTACAATTGATACATTGTGTTTAAAGTATACGTCTATCCTATCAACAGATTGTCTGCACTTGAAACTTCATCAATGTTTTTATTGTTGCGTTTATAAATAAACTCAAACTTGGCTGATCGTCAATCGGCGTTTGGGCGGGCGTCAGTATACGATATATTGGCGCTTAGGCGGGCGGCAGTATACGGTCAAGGCGGTTGATGGAAGCGTTACGTACAATAGAAATTCTCATATCTTTAATGTGAATCAAAATAGGCAGTGGTGAAGAAAAAATGAGTGCGGACGATCTTAGTACGCTGCTCTCTGTTGAGTTCGAAGTTTTCGGACAAGTGCAAGGTTTGTTTACGTTTAAACTTTTTCGAACAACTCTAACGATCTAGGTAGATGATATGATTTAATTTTCTTCCGCGATTCCATCGCGTAAATTACTTACATACGTTAATTACGTACATACGTTACATAGGGTAAGATTAACATTAATAAAAGCCTCTAGGCTTGCGTACATTTATGGCACTTCAACATTTCCTGTGTTAGTTGAATCCGTCGATTGACCAAGAGGTCAATCGACGGATTCAACTCGGCTGGGCAGCGTTCGGGAAATTACGACACATCTTCTCGTCAGGTATACTTCAATCTCTGAAAACTAAAGTTTATAACCAGTGCGTGTTGCCAGTGATGACTTACGGATCTGAGACGTGGTCCTTCACTGCTGGCCGTATGAGGACGCTCAAGGTCGCTCAGCGAGCTATGGAGAGGGCTATGCTCGGAGTTTCACTGCGTGATAGACTCAGAAATGAGGATATCCGCAGTAAAACCAGAGTGACCGACATAGCCCAACGGATTAGTAAGCTGGAGTGGCAATGGGCCGGCCATATAGCTCGAAGAACCGATAACCGATGGGGAAGAAAGGTTCTCGAGTGGCAGCCTCATACCGGTAGGCGTAGTGTAGGGCGACCACTCGATGGCGTGACGACCTGGTAAGACATGCAGGAAGTCAATGGATGCAGGAGGCTCAGGACCGTGCTTTGTGGCATTACTTGGGGTAGGCCTATGTTTAGCAGTGGACTTGTTAAGGGCTGTAATGATGATGATGATGATGATGATTAGACTAGTCAGACTAGTCTTTTTAAGTCCAGTGCTAAGCTTATCAAAGAGTGTGACAGCTGACATCCGTATTATGTCTTTTTTTCTAAAAAAAAAATAGGATTATATATGCCTGTCTATGAAACTGGGGTTCTGTATTTTTGAATGGTTTTTCTAGTGTCGTGATGTATGAGTAACTGCCATCCGTAGCCGACAGAACCAAACATCAGTAAAAGATTAATATAATATGGTTTTCGTAATATCATTGAAAATGAATAAGGAATATAATTACCTAGTAAATTTCAACTTGGTAATAATTGGAAACCGAGAATTGATTATTTGCTTGCAAATTTATAGACTAATAACAAACAAAGTCTTGCTTTTTTATAGGATAAGGTTGACAAAGGGGCACACAGTCCAAAGGATGGTAAATTGATGCTATGGCTCATAGATATCTACATTTAATTTTGATTCAGAATCAAAATCTAGATGAGTTGTCACCCCTAAAGACTAAGATGGAAAGTCTCATTATTTCATTCATTACAGCCCTTCACAAGTCCACTGCCGAACATAGGCCTCCCCCAAGTAATGCCACAAAGCACGGTCCTGAGCCACCTGCATCCATCGACTTCCTGCATGTCTTAACAGGTCATCACTCCGTCTAGTGTCATCGGTTGTCGGTTTTTCGAGCTATTTTGCCACTTAAGCTTACTAATCTTTTGGGCCCTGTTGGTCGCAATCCTCATTTCTAAGTTTACCACGTAAGGAAACCCCGAACATAACTTCTCTATAGCTCGCTGAGCTTAAGCGTCCTCATACGACTAGCTGTTAAGAACCACGTCTCAGACCCATAAGTCATCACTAGCAACGCACACTGCTTGTACAATCTCGTTTTCAAGTTTTGAGATATACCTGGCGAGAAGACGGGTCGTAATCTTCCGAACGCACCCAGCCGAGTTGAATCCGTCGATTCAATTCTATTTGTCGCAGGTAAACATACTCGTCAACAACTTTGAGCTTAGTGCTCTAAACAACTACTGGCATAGGTGTGATATAGACGTTACACATAACCTTTAATGTCTTAATATGAACATGGCCAAAATCCATGTTCATATTAAGACCTGTCCATTGGTAGGCACTATTGGGGTCATTGCGCATAGTGCTTAGATCCTCCAGCGATTCTGCCATAAGTACTATATCGTTGGCAATTCGAAGGTGAGTGATGTACTTGCCATTAATATTATATCCTTTCGAGTCTAGTAGCTGGAAAACGTCTTCCAATGCAATGGAGAAGAGTTTCAGGGATATAACGTCACCTTATCTTACACCTCTCTGCAATTGGATGGGTTTTGTACTCTGGTTCTGTATTCAGATAGCCATCGTAACCCTACTGTACAAACACTACTACTACTGTGTTCCGGAGGCTGGATATCGTTGAAGTCTGCGTACAAGACGAATTGTAATGACTCTCGAAAACAGCACGTAGACGCGGCTCAGAAGGGAAATTGGTCTATAGTTCTTCAAGAGAGCGTTGTCGCTTTTCTTGAAGAACAAGACAACTTCTCACAATTCTGCTCCACGCCTGAGGAGTAGTGCCAATATGGAGGACAGAATTAAACAGTTTATGAAAGACACACGACAGTACTTAAAGTACTAGTTTTCCACCCGCTTTCAAAAGCTCCGCTGTAATTTCATCCTCGCTCCGGGACTGGCAGTTTTTAAGGTTCTGAAGAGCCAATATAATCTCTAAGTCGTGCTGCAACCACAATATAGCTACTGGCTCTACCACGTTCAGCTAAACAGACAAAAATGCATGAAGTCAAGGATGCGAGGAGTCTGGTTTTGAGATCGCCAATCCGCCAGCCTAGCGTGACGAATAAGACCCAGGCAGCAGATTTTAGGAAGCGGCATTTTGGATTTCTTTCCCGCCAACAATTCCACATCTCATCGTTTAAAATGATGCCATGAAAAATCTACACTCACCATATAAAACACTGCAGCATTAGCCTGCTATTTAACGCTGGTATTCTGGTATAGCTATAATATACCTGCAGTATGGCTACTAAGTTGTAGACTTTATACGAGGGTGGATTGAAAAGTACTCGGCCTAACCAAGAAAATAAACACATACTAAATCACTTATATTTTTATTTTTCTACATAATCACCATCAAGTTCAATACACTTTTGCCACCTCCCCTTCCAAGCATTTAGACCGTTGAAAAAAAATGATTCTTCCTTAGAGTCAAAATATGCGTCTACAGCTGCTTTGACCTCGTCGTTTGTCGAAAATCTTTGACCTCCCAAGTGCTTTTTTAGGTTAGGGAACAGAAAGAAGTCTGATGGTGCCAGATCAGGTGAATACGGCGGATGCGGTAACAGTTCAAAGCCACAGTTGTGAATTTCAGCCATTGACTGTACTGACGTGTGAACTTTTATTTCCTCTCGTAAACGACGTAGTAAGGTGCAGTAGTAATCAGAGTTTATAGTCTGACCCCTTTCAAGATAATCAATCATAATCACACCTTTCGAGTCCCAGAATACTGAAGCCATCACCTTATTTGCCGACAAAATCGACTTAGCCTTTTTTAGGGGGTGGTGAACCAGGTCTTCTCCACTGTTTTGATTGTTGTTTTGTTTCCGGTGTACAGTAATGAACCCATTTTCGTCCATAGTAACAAAACGATTCAAAAAATCATCTGCATCGGCTTCAAATAACTCCAAACAGTCGCGTGAAATAGTCAATCGCGTCCTTTTTTGTTCAACTGAAAGCAGTCGCGGAACCCACCACGCAGACACCTTGTGGAAACCCAACTCGTTGACAATGATGTTTTGAGTTCGTTCATAAGAGATGCCTATAATCTCGGCTATCTCTCTAATTTTTAATCTGCGGTCTCCCATTATTAAATCAAGTACTTTTTTAATATTTTCGTCAGTAGTTGACGTCGAAGGCCTTCCAGAGCGGGGTTCATCTTTCACACTCTCTCTACCACGCTTAAATTCTGCTATCCATTTTTTGACGGATGAATATGACAGAGCACAATTGCCTAATGTACTGACCATGTCATAATGGATGGCTTTTGATGATAGCCCCTTCTTATGGAGGTACTTAATGACGGCACGCTGCTCGATTTGCTCCATTCGCGGAAATTATGTCCGATTACTTTGTTAATAAATTTATAAAATCACAACTAATTATCGCACACGTTTCGAACTTCACACAATGAACTAGTCTGAACTGAACTAAATAATGTGGTTAGATTTGATTTTTAGAATTGAATGGATCTGTGTTAGGCCGAGTACTTTTCAATCCACCCTCGTATTTAAAATTCATTTTTGATCTTTTTAAGTGGACCATGTTTCAATATGATTGAGAAAACAGTCCCTTGAACCAGCAAGATACCCAGCAGGTCTCTTGAAGCAAGAATAAAAGCGACCTTTACTAAAAACCGAGTGATGAGTGTGAGTCAATGGATCGTGACTTAGGATTGTGTTTTCATGAAAGCTATGGGATAGACGTATTTTCATTCTTTATCTGTCAACTGTGATGTACTAATAATGATGATTACTGTAATAAAACAAGAAAGATGAAAGTAAAATAGAGTCGTCGTGTCATAAAAGGTAACAGAGGGAAATAAAAAGGATATAGGCAGCAGCATCTTTCTTGATAACAAGTCGAAACAATAATAAAATGCGTTTGCATGCACACCTGCTAAGCGTGGCAACTATGGTAAATATCTCCTATATTTAACAGTGGACTTTATACTAATACTAATAAGCTGTAATTTTGGATGCTCGGAGTTACACAGAATAACATTTCCACTTCAGTCTGTTTTAAAACTGTGGTTTAAATTTGGCAATACTTGACCGATATAATATATTGATTTCTGATCCATTACGCAATGCGCGTGATCTCATATTTGATTAATGATAATATTACACAACGTATGTCTACTAAGATCGATTTGCAAGAGATTTATGACCAGCCCTCGAACATTTATTATAAGAATACCCACTACCCCGTATCGTCCCGCGGGTGCTGTAAGAGATGACAGAGAGAAAATGAAATAAGAGATAGGCGGCGGTGTTTACCTAATAACAACTAGGAAATAAAAACTACGGTTGCCAACCCGATTGCCTAGCATAGCAACTCTGGCAAATATGGGGAATATTTGCCGTAGTTATGCCATAGTTATAGGTAATCTATGGGGATTCCTACGTTTCGCAGAGGACTTTGATAGGCTGTAATTAATA